TTTAATCTATTTAATTTGATGTCGCTCCCCTGGCAGGAGCCTCCCCACGTGGGCTGCTGAGCCAGCTCGCTGCCGCCTCGCTGCCACCGCTGGCGTTTGGAGAGAGGCAGGAGAGGGATTGTCTGCCAGCCGCGCTTCCCAGGGCGATGCCGCGGCCCAGGGGCTGCCCCGCGGGTGGCAGCGGGGTGCGGCTATTCCCGGGTGCTCTGCTGCCAGCTGCGCGCTTGCTTTAATCCGGTCTGCATCCTCCGGGACGCTGCCACCGCCGTGCCCCAGCTGCACGGCCGCAATGCCCTGCCGGCCCCACGGCAGCGATGGGGGTGTGGATGCGCTGCTGTGACAGTGGAGGGACGCCTGGCCCCGGGGCACAGCACAGAGAGGTGGCGATCTGCCACGCAGCGTCCTTGAGCCCGGGGATGTGGGGACAGTCGGAAGGAACAGCTGGGGATCTCAGTCCCCCTGCCCAGCGCTGTTTGGTTTCTCTGCCCACCCTCCTCACCTCCGGGTAATGGCCAGAGGAGATATGTACAGAAAGACTGGGACAAACTGATCCTGGCAGGCTCCAAACATCCCAAAAGTGATGCTCCAGAAATCCTTTAAAAATACAGACTGTTCTATGTGACCTGACATCTCTTTCAGTCCCATCCCCCAAGAAAAAAACAAAAACACCCCAAATCCTTTCTCCCAATGCCTGGAGAGGTGCCATAGCAGGAGCTGGTGCTCAGCTCCCCTGATTCCATATGGGGCTTTGGATAGGAAGGGCCAGATCCAGATGGATCCCTGGGCACAGCAGAGGTGATGGGCGCTGGCAGACCGACCCCACCCTGCTCTCCATCGCAAACCGACCCCACCCTGCTCTCGCTCCATCGCTCGGAGCCCCGACTCGCCCTGGAGGAGGGGTCCCTGCCTGTGCTGCGGCTGGAGGAGCCGCTGGTGGTGCTGGGGTGGGGACAGACAGCGATGGGTGGGACCGCGGGGTGGCTCTGGGGCGACAGGGGCTGCGGGAGGGCAGGGGGAAGGTGGGGAGCGTGTGTTCCCCCCGGGCTGGGGGAAGGGGGGCGGCGGTGGGGCTGGAGCGCTGAGGCTGTGCTGAGTCACGCTGCAGAGCTGCGAGCAGGACTGCAGCAAGCGGCTCGCTGTGACAGCCCTGTCCCTCCGCCTCCGGCTCCTCGCCTCCTCCTGGGGGCCAGGATGCTGCTGGGGCTTGATGTCCAGTTTGGGGGGTCTCCCTGCTCCCCTGGTCATGGTTATGTCGGAGTTCCCAACCCTGCTTGCCCCTCCCCAGCTCCCTGCACTTCAATAGAGATGGGGCTGCTCCAGGATGGGGGTCCTGGAGTTCCTGGGCAGGGAGAGGGGAGGACTGAGCTGCCCTTGGGGGATGAGTGTCCCCGGCACCAGTGCAGGAGGGGTGTCCCTGGGTAGCTGTGACATGGGGGACAGCAAGGCCGGGGGGTCACTTGCTGCCAGCACAAACACAAAAGGGCACTCAGCAGCCACTAGAACACGGGGCAGCTTTCCCCTGGCACGGGTGGAGTGGGGTGGTGAGTGGGCAGAGATCCACCCCCAGCTCCTACCTGACACACCAACCCAGCACACAGAGCTGAGCATCCACCCCTGCTACTACACAGGAGAAAGGTTGAGGCAGGTCCCTGCTGCAGAGGGAAACTGAGGCACGGGCTGTGCCCCAGATACTGCCACCTCTCAGGCTCAGAGTCCGGGACAGCCCTGTCCCCACAGGATGCTGGTGACCACCTTGCCTGGTGCTGCCTACCAGCCCCACAGAGCTCAGAGCTGCTTCTGGAGGCACCGAGACAGGCAGGGCTTTTTTTAGGTGCTCCGTAAGTGCCGTCTGGGCGGTATTTATATCGGCTCCTTAAATAAGAGCTGCCATCTGAGCCTGACGAGCCTGCTTAATTATTAATGCCCCGCAGGGAAGCAGCACGCCTGCCTGCTCCAGGCCCACCTTCCCGCTGGGATCCTTCATCCCACCAGCACCCAGGAGGAGTTGTGACAACCTGGGCATCCCAGAGCACCCCGGCTTCCCATGGGAACGTGTCTGATGTGGGAGCATCTTCCCGAGGACAGGGGAGAAGGCTGAGAGGGGATTTTCCAGGAGGAGGGTGCCATGGCATGGGCATTGCTGCAGTTCTCGGTGGGTGCTGGGAATAAGGGGAGAGTGGGAGGCACGGAGTGATGCTCTCCCATCCCATCTCGGTAGCTTGAGGTGGTTCCAGGGAAAATCATTCCTGGAAGCCCTGAGGGGTAAGGGCAGCCCTGCTTGGAGACAGAGCTTATGCTAAACAGCACGGGAGGGCAGCTGCTGCAGCAGAATTAATTTGAGCTTGGAAAGTGCTTTGAAAGGCTGAGATGAAAGGCCAGGGCTGGGTACAAAGCGCTGCAGCTCCACAAACAGGGGGAAGGACACTCCCAGCAAAGCACCCTCGGTCTGTCATCAGCCCCACCAGCCACAGCCCCTCCATCGCCTCCTGCCCCAGGTGAGGCACCTCTGGCTCTGGGATGTTTTGGGGAGGGTTGGTGAAGCCCTGAGCTCACCCAGCTGCTGGTTTTGGGGTCCTACCTTGGTTGGGGTGACCCCCCAGCTCTGGTTTGTGTCAGGGTGGAAGGGCCAAGGCTGCACCGTGGGGGCTGGGGAGGTGCAGGGGAGGAAGGGACAGCCTTGTCCTGCTCCTGGCCAGGCTCAGGGAAAGGGGCCAGGGTGCCACAGCTTTGGGGTGCTGGGGACAGGCAGTCTGGCCCAGTGAGGGGTCAGGCAGGGAGGACATGAAGGCACCACTGTCCTGCAACCTCAGGGAACAAGACACCGAAGCCAGAGGTTTCCTCAGCTTGTTTCTCCACCAACATAACTGCAAGAGTCACAGAAGTGCTCCCCTGGGCACGCAGCCCCTTCCTCAGGGCAAACCAAGCAGCAGCTGCCTGGGAGTGGGACTTGGGGTGACACCCAGCCCTGGGGCTGTGCAGGAGCCTGGGCAGCACCCCAGGGATGGGACCCATCCCAGCCCACACACAGGCCTGGGAAATGCCACCCTGTGTCCCCTGGCCTTCACAGCTTTGCCACCCACCAGCTGAAGACACCAAGCACTTGTGTCACTGCTGCTGTGAGGTGTGGCAGGTGTGCTGGTGTACCTGGGGTGACAACCCCTGGGGTGGGAACAGGCTGGGAGACCTGCACACACATCTCCCATGCTGGGCATCCCCTTCCCTGGGCATCCCCTTCCCTGGGCATCCCCCTGGCTCCAAGCAAGCAGACATGGAGGGAAAAGGCACAAGGGTAGGGGCACATGACTGTCACTGTCCCACAGGAAATGAGGGGTGAGGATTTCTGGATCCATTTTCAGAGCAGTCAGCAGCTCACCCAAGCAAACCTCCAAGTCACAGAGAATTTCCTGCCTTCCCTCACAGTGTCACAAGGCATTGACAAGACGTAGCAGGGAAGGCAAGAAAATGCAAAGAGAAAGACTCTCCTTCCAAGCCACAGGAATTAACAAAGTGGCACATTTGAACGCAGAGAAGTATTTTTAATCCCGCAGGCAGAATTGAGGTTATTAGGTTTTTCTGGGACATCTGCAGAACAGACCCACATCCTCTGGGTCATTGTGATTTCCCAGCACAGCAGCTGCCCCAGCCTCTCACTGAGGGGTGTCTGCAGGCACCAGAGGAGGGAAAAGGGGATTTAGTGATGTCCAGCCAGGTAACACCTCCAGCTGCCTGTGCTGCCCACCAGAACCTTCTAACTTGGACCATCCACCACCAAACCTTCACCCCACTGCTGCCCAGGCTGTGCAGCAGAGGAATTAGGTGTTGTGAGGGGTGCTGATTTATACATCAGAGCTCAAAAAGGGGGCTGGATTCACTGCAGATAAATATTACAGCCAGCTTGCTACTCTGAAAAATTTACAGCATCATGAATATCCTGTTCTGACCTGTGATGGGGAAGGAAATCATCTGCGTTGGGAAATGTATTTATGGCTCTGGTGCTCTGACAGAAATAAATCAGTATTTGCTCGTTTTGGGGCAAAAACAGGGTCACTGTAAATCAGCAGAGCTGGGCTGGCTGAGAATGTGCCAGATTTATGGAAAATACTAGATAAAATTCCAAAGGTTTGTATGGAGAGGCAACAGTTTTTATTAGGACTGTTGATATATTTGGAGAAATCAGGGGATCCTCCAGGTGCAAAAGTACTTCTTCAGGTCTGGGCTTGTGTTCAATATTGTCCGGGAGAACCCAGGAATTGTACCCAAGGGATAATATTATTTATTTTCCAAGTTAGGGGATGCATATATCTGGCCCAAATGCAGTAGGATCACTCAGAAGGGGATGAGCAAGGAGTCTGCTCTCATTCATTCACAGACATGAGCGTGCTTGGTTCAGGTGATGCCCCACAAATATCTCCTGATTAATGAGAAGAAATGGCAGCAATAGCTGAAAAAATAATTTGGGAACCAAACTCCTTTAATATTCTCTTGCACTCTGCATTTTTTTACACATACCCTCTCCCAAAACTGGCGCTAGGGCGAAAACAACCCAGAGCCCCACTGTGGGAGCTCTCCAGAGATGACAGCGAGCCCCTGGGGAGGAAGAATGAGCCTTTATCGGGGGAGGGGAATAAATTGCCCTTGTCTGTGGCATCTGTCCTGGGGATGGCCGGGCAGTAAACAAAGGCTGGGCACAAAGCACAAAGGCTGTTCTCACTCGGGAGCCACGTGTGCCCTGCGGGGTGTGAGGCCGGGGGTGCGAGCGAGGAGACAGCGTCTGATTTTTGGGGAGGAAATGGAGAGGATCCGGCCGTGTTTCTGGTTCTGTTTATCAGAGAGGGGGATTTCTTCTGCTCTCGGAAACTGTAAACAAAGGAGGATTTTGTGCTACACAAATCCAGGCGATGCCATCCTCTGTTATTTGCAGAGCAGTGCAAAACCCACATTAAACTTGCCCCAAAAGGGTGTTGCTCACCACCAGCAGCATTCCCAAACCAGTTTGTCCCCACCCACGTGGGTGAGACCGTGGCCTTTGGCTCTGGAGAGCCACAACACTGCCCTGAGGACACCAGCACATCCCAGTGCCACCCAGGGTTCCTGTGGGAGGTTTCAGAAGGAAACCACAGGGCACAGGGACTGGCAGGTGGGATGGCTGAGTCCTCTGAGCTAATTCCCACACATCCCAAAGCACCTGTGTGGGGACAGTGGCTTTGGGAAGGGCCAGGGACATGTGGCACGTGAAGGACAGTGTTCATCTGTGCATCAGCACTGCCTGGCTCTCTCCAAGGAGGGTGAAGCGCTTTCATGGGGATCACTGTTTGTTAGACCCCTTTCCTTTCTCCCACTGCCACAGCATTGTCTCAGCACTGCTTTATCCAGAGGCTTTTGAGGAGAACAGGATCCATTAAATCCTTTCATTCCTCCCAGTGCTGTAGCCTCCTCTCAGCATCACTTCATCCATAGAGTTTTAGGAAAGTGGGATGTCTTATGACTCCCAGTGGCTCTCCCCATGTAGCAGAGCCCCACATGGATGGAGCAGACATGTTTTCATCCCACGGGTTATCCATGTGTGAGTGCACTGTGGGCCCAAGGTGGCTGTCATTACCCACTACCCAGAGCTGATCTCCAGTGGGAATGCTCTCCTCTCCTCTGTGGATTGGGACCCTGGCCATGGTGGGGAAAAGGGGGCAGGGAAAAGCAGGGCACAGGGGCTCACCCCAAGATTGTCACCATGCCACAGTGTCAGAGACCCCAGGCACAGCAACACTGCCAGGGTCTCCACAGGGGAAGGATGCATGGGCTGTGAGCGGGACCAGGACAGGAGCGGGTCGGGGTTTTGAATGGATCAGGGATTTTGGTGGGATATGGTTGTGAGTGGGTTTGGGCAGTGGGTGGGTTTGGTTGTGAGTGGGTTTGGGCGGTGGGTGGGTTTGGTTGTGAGTGGGTTTGGGCAGTGGGTGGGTTTGGTTGTGAGTGGGTTTGGGCGGTGGGTGGGTTTGGTTGTGAGTAGGTTTGGGCTGTGGGTGGGTTCGAGCTGTATGACCAGGATGTGTGTGGGTCAGGCCCGCTCGTGGGTCTGGCCATGAGTGGGACCACGCAGTGCGTGGCTCCAGGCTCTGAGAGGAGCACTGGGAGTGACCGTGGGCTCCGAGTGGGCACCGGCTGTGAGCGGACCCGGGCTGTGACCGAGTCCTCTGTGTGTGCGAGCCCAGCCTGTGGCTGTGCCGGGCCGCCAGAGCGTCCCGGAGAGTGTCCCCGCCCGGGACCGGGCCGTGACTGTGCGCGGCCCCAGGGTGCGATCCCGCCCCGCCCAGAGCCGTTCGGTGCCCAGGCCCACCCGGTGCCGCTTGGTGCCCCGGCCCGCTCGGTGCCAGGGTTCGGTGCCCAGGTCCGTTCGGTGCCAGGGTTCGGTGCCCAGGCCCCGCTCGGTACTCAAGCCCGCCCGGTGCCAGGGTTCGGTGCCAGGGTTCGGTGCCCAGGCCCGTCCGGTGCCAGGGTTCGGTGCCCAGGCCCGTTCGGTACCAGGGTTCGGTGCCAGGGTTCGGTACCAGGGTTCGGTGCCCAGGCCCGCCCGATGCCTCCCGCGGGCCCCCCCGCGCTCCCGGCGCGAGCCGCGCCCTCCGCGGCCCACCCGGGCCGGGCTCCGGTGAATCAGCACAGGCGGGGCCCAGGGGGGCCGAGGGGGCGGTGCCTTGGCGCGGGGCACGACGGGAGATGTAGTCCCGAAGGGCGAGGCCGAGCCGCATGAACCCGGCGCCGCTGGCGCACCTGAGGACTTCATCTCCCGTCGTGCCCCGCGGGCCGGGTGTGGGCGGGGCCGCGGGGGAGGGGCGGGGCGCGCGCAGGGGGGTTGTGGTGGCCCGCGGCGCGCGCACAGCACCGGGCGCAGCCGCCGCCGCCGCCTCAGCCGCAGCAGCGCCGAGCCCGCCGCGCCCTCCTCGTCCTCCTCCTTCCTCTCCTTCCTCCTCCTCCCGGAGCCCGCAGCCTCCTCGCCCCTCTCCCCCCCGGACCCCGCGAAGATGGTGGACCGCGAGCAGCTGGTGCAGAAGGCCCGGCTGGCCGAGCAAGCCGAGCGATACGACGACATGGCGGCCGCCATGAAGAACGTGAGTCCCGTCCCGCGGCCGCGGCGCTCCCCACACGCTCACACACACCCCCTCTCCTCCTCCTCCTCCTCCTCCTGCCCCGCCGGGGCCGCCCTCCCCGCCTGTTCCCCGCGGCGGGCGGTGGGCTCGGCCGGGGCCCGCGGGGGTGTGAGGGCCCCGCTCCCTCGCCCTCCGGCAGCCCCGCTGCCTCCCGCTCCCGCCGCTCTCCCCGATCCACGCTTACTTTGCTTTCTCCCGACCCCCGTCCCTGCCCTAGAGCCCCCCACGCATCCTTTTCCCTGCTCTGGGGCCCCCACGCATCCTGCTGCTCTGCCCTGGAGCCCCCTCCCCGCATCTTTCGCCTGCTGTGGGGCTCGCGTCCAGCCCCACGCATCGCTCCCTCCTGCCCTAAACCCCCCCCCGCATCTTCTCCCTCATTCCGGGGCCCCCACCCAGTCGCACACACCCCCCTGACTGCCCTAGAGCCGCCCCCCCATCCTCCCCCTGCTCTGAAGCCCCTGCCCTGCTGCCCCCACCCAGCCGCACGCATCCCCCTGCCCTGGAGCACCCCCGCACCCTCTGCTCTGCCGTGGGGCACGTTGCCTCCGCAGCCCTGCAGCCCCCCGCATCACCTTCCAGCCGCAGTTCTTCTCTCCCCCCGCCCCAGGCCCCCTCCCATGCTCCCCTCCCCAGCAGGGCACAGGAGCCAGGCGGGTGCGGCGCTGCCCGGGGGGGTCACACCGGCTCGGGGCCCCGTGGGGCGAGGCGGGGGGGGGACCCGGTGTTGGGGGGGGTTCGTGCACATCTCTCCCCGCTGCCGAAATACCTCCCCGTGCATCCCTTCCCACGCGTGGTCGCCGGGGCTGATGTGTGCCCCTGACCCCAAAGATCGGGAGCCCTTTCACTGTCAAAGCTCTTATTTTTACTGCTCTTGGTTGGAGATTTATGAATTGAGTCATGTTGTATTCATTTCACGCTCTTAAAATAAAGACTCTGCATATAGCAGGCTGATCTGATTTGTGACACTGAACGCTCCCCTTCAATACTGACATTTTGACAATATAAGAAGGGGAAAAAAAACATATCTCTGATCTGATCTTGCAAACAAAGCAATCGTGGGAGGCAGGATCAAGTCATTCCAGAAGATTCTGCATTTGTCATATTGCAGAGAGGCTAGACTGGGTGGAGGGAGGGAGGGGGTGCTTTAAAGGGGAAAACTGTTCTTTATGTTTGTCTTCTTAGTCAGGTCTGAACCTTTGCTGGGAGCTGGGGTGTCCTCCCCGGCTGATGAAAAGTGAATGCCGATCTGGGAATGTCGCAGTCTGCCGTGGGTGCAGCTCTGTTTGCCCATATTGCACCATTTTGTCAATAACCTTGCATTTATCAAACAGACAAAACTGTCACAGCCCGAGCCCGGGGAGGGAGGAGATGTCTTATCAAGGAATGAAATACGGATAATCGGGACGAGATATTATCACATTAAACCAGCCGGGCTGTCCCTCTGCTGCACTATGGCTTTTATACCATTTTCTGATAGCGGCGTCTATTCATTTTAAAGCAAAGCCTGCTGTGTGAGCAGATCCTACAGCTCATTTCCTACGGATAATACAGCCGCCGTGACAAAGCCAGCAGGGATATGCCCGGGACTCAGAGCCGTGTTGCACTGTGAATTTCTCTTAGCCTGCTTTCCCCGGGCTGGGTGCTCGGACCCGAGGTGCTGTTAAGAGCTCCTATGTGTGATTTTTCCTTACGGGCCCTGGTGAAACAGTAACCCGGGCTAACGCCTCTTATCAGCTGCCGGGTAGTTTGGCCGTAAGGAAACGATCCCCAGCGGGAGCGCTGCCGCCTCCCTTCACCAGCAAACAAAAGGCAGAGCTTTGTTCTTCCTTTCTGCACCCAGCTCCGGCACGGCCGGTCCGGCGGCCACGGCCGTGTCACAGCCGTGTCACAGCCGGTTATCCCCAGCCCCCAGCCCCGGTTGTGCGGGAGGCTGATGACCTCGCACTCATTTCCGTAGCAACGCCTAGTGATGTCATATGCCATGGTCCAAGCTGCAATGCACCCAGGCGGTAGCAGAGAGCATGCGGGCTGCGCCTAGCGAAGGTGATGCAGAGCCATCCTGCCCTCCAAACCTAGCCCTGCCTAGCACCCTGCTGAGAAATGCTGGCTGGTTCTCCTCTCACACCCGTCCTGGCAATGATGGCCATAAAAGAGGCTCGTTTTCCTGCAGCTTCATCTCACCCTTGCGTTTTGGTGGCCACCTCACATGGGGTGGGTTGTTCAGCCTCAGCCCTGTCTGCTTGGGAACCTGTGCTGAATGGCTGTGTTAGTGGTTTAAAAAGAAAATGGTGTGCTGGGGTTCTTGCTGTCTGCTGATTCATCTAGTGATGTCTGGGATCGCAGTAGTTTCTCAAAAATATTATTTATATATAATAACTGCTACCTCCTTGCTTGCAAGTGCTAGCTGCCAGTGCCTCTACCTGCAGTTATGTTGCTGCTGCAGGAGCAGGATTGCTCCTTCAGCCCCCAAAAGGGGCAGGTTTACTGAGGGGTCTCTGAAAACACAGCAGATGGTCCCCTCACCTACCAGAGGGAGCAGAAGGTGGTGCCACACCCAGGAAGGGTGCAGGGCTGGGCCCATCGATCCAGGACATGTCTTCATGACCTTGATCATGTCCCGTGTCTCCTCAGTGCTGTTTGGGGGGTACCATCAACCCTGTCAGGTGTTGGGGGACAGGAAAGCTCTCTGCTGGTCCCCAGTGTGGTCAGACATTGGCCTTGGGCTAGCTTGCTGGAGTTTCACTTCCCACAGTGCTGGTGATTGGAGCAAGCTGCATTTTTGTCTGGTTGAACTTCAGGAAGAGCTTTGCTGTCTGAGCCCACGCCAGGGCTGGGGATCGATATCCATTAGCTGGGGAGAGTGATGCTGCTGGAGGCTTTCCGGAGGTGGGAGACTGCCAAGCCCCCGGCCAGCGCTGCCCAGGGAGCAGAGCACGTGCCTCCCCACAGACTTCATGTTATGGGGACGTGCAGGTGAATGAACAAGATGTTGCAATAACTTATGCAGGAAATAAGTAATCTCTTGAAAGTGTATAGGGAGGATTATTGCACCGCACCTATGTATGGTGTAGGTGTGGGGCTGTCCCCTGTGAGGGGAACACCTGACTGCTCGATTTTGGGGGGCCTAACATCTGCAGCAGGGCTGTGGCTGTGCTGTATGCAAGGACCACCAGGTGTGGGTGTGAAGGGGGGACTGTTGGAGATGCTGGAAAGCAGATGGCTGCTCCGAGCTTTAGACAGCACAGCTTGGTGCAGTAAATGGCCATTGTGGGTGGAGGAGGAGCGTGAGGATGGGGAATTGCAGGCCTTCCCTGGCACGGGGTATGTGGGCTTCTCCCGTGATGGTCACCAGCTGGGCAGGTTATCATCCTCCACATCCAGTGTATCAGTGCTGATAGCAAGGCTTCACACAGACAGCAGGCTCACCCTTGGAAAAAGGGGTAGTAACACAAATCCAGCCTGTCTGGAGAGTCCCCAGGAAGCAGAGCAGGGATGATTAGCTGCTTTCTGCTCGCAGTGTACACAGACAAAAGGGTGGTGAAGGTGGAAAGGCTTCTCCAGGAGGAGTGCTGGGCAGGCCATCTGTGATGGTGGGAGGGGACCAAGGAGTGTGAGCTGCTGTAGTAGCACTTCCCAGGGGGGCTGGGGGAAGGCTTTGAGGAAACCATTCCCAGTGCCGGGCTGGATGGTGCAGTCATTAGCTGTTGGCATCTAAAGGCAGCATTGATGCTCTTGTGCAGGCAGATTGAATTCTGCCCAGCCTCGCGGTGCCTCCAGGCCACTGGTGGACTGCAGTGGTGCCAGGGATTGGAGACAGCCTGACTCATGAGCAGGGCTTCCTTCCTGGAGGTCCATGGGGTCAGGACAGGATGGTGGCTGTCAGGAGCTCCCGTCCTTCTGACCTTGTAGAGGTTCACAGTGTGGGGTTGTCGCTGTGTGACTCAGCCTTGGGACCTCATAGCAGTAGCCTGAGTCACATGTGCACCTAAGGCACAGACAGGTAGCAGTGTGCCCTGGATGTGACTGCTGTGGACACTGCTCACAGTAACTGGCCAGTCTTCAGCAGATCAGGCTCTTAAATCTTCCTCTGTGAGCTCCTGTGAGTTCTTATTTAGTCCATTTAGGAAGAGTCACTGACTTCCAAGACCATTTCCAAGACCCATTTGGCCAAGTGGGTTTCTGAGTTGGCCAAGTGTAGCAGCCAGGGTGGATTGGACTCAAAATGGCTCTTCCTGAACTAAACAAAAGTGATATTGAGACTGTGATGGAGAATATAGCAGTTGAATTATACCTGGGGCATAGAAACAGTAAAACTTGGGCAAGGGCTCTCCATGAACCCCTGGCTTATTTGGGCTTATTCAGTAGATCTACTGGATGATGTCTAGCCATGAAAGTACAAGAAGATTGGTGGATGATGTCTAGCCATGAAAGTACAAGAAGATTGGTGGGAGTTGTCTCGATTTATTAAAATTTTTTTCAACCACCTTTATTTGCTGCTTCTTGTGTAAAAAGATGATTAGTTCACAGGAGATTCAATTGTTTTAGTACACCAAATAACCTTCATAATGTCAGTGGATAAACCCTATCTGCACCAGCTGTGTTCACCAGCTGACCCCAAAGTTACTCTCTGGAATACACTCCTTGGACACTGATGATGTGTGCTTGGACTTGCTGGAATACTCAGGAACACCAATTTAGGCACAACCACAGAACTTCAGCTCCAGAAATGTTTCTTGGGTTGAACACTCCAGCATCTAGGGGCATATACACTGTTCGTGGCAACAGGATGATGTTTTTGGCGTCCTCTTAGTGCTTCTCATGGATGATCTGGATGGTGCTTTCAAGAGGGTTGTCCACTGTTACAACTGTGGTGTATCCCTCTGGCTCCTGCAGCTGAGGTTTGGTTTCTGATCAGGGAAATGGAAAACATGGTTCTTCCTCATCTTCTACAGCTGGTAGAA